GTACCGATGTCTGCCCCTTTGTGAGAGCTCGAAAGTGTTTGCTTTGCTGCTTTCGTAAAATGATCTGCTTTCCTAAAAAAATTGTAACACTTCCTACCAATACAAAGCACCTCCCACTGTGCTGGGACTTGCAAAGCAGGAGGTCACTGTAGGACCCAAGGGTTTTTGCCCATTTTTTCTGCTGCATGATTGGCACATCAGGTCCCACTGCATCCTCACCAGGGAGTGTTGCTGCGTCTCCACCCTGCAGATGAGGAAAGGGAGGTGGGGAAGCAGCAGTGACCTGCCCTACTCGGTACCACAGGAGGTGGAGGGGGGTGCACGGAGTCGGGGTTAGAGGTGAGCACACGACCTTCTCCAAGGATGGAAATCTCCCACCATTTATGTGACCAACGCTTATCTTCCAGGCCCTGTTCTAAGCAGAGTATAAATGTAAACGCACTTAATTCATAATAACACCATGAGCATGGGTGGGTGTTCCTACCGCCCACTTCACAGATGAGGAAATTGAGGCACAGAGGAGTTCAGGAACTAGTCCCGGGTCCCACAGCTGGTAGTGGCTGACGCTGGATTTGAACCCAGCACTCAGACTATGGAGTTGGTACGCTCAGCTTCACCTGAGCTGCATTCTCACCTGGGAGCCTTAGGGTGGACAGGAAGGTTTTACTTCCACTCAGTGCCCACACCTTATCAGAACTCTTCTTCCCCTAATCCCGGGTATCAACCTCCACACCGGTGACATTTTGGGGTCAGATTATTCTTTCCAGTGCGGCTGTCCTGTGCACGGCAGGGGGTTGAGCAGCACCCCTCACCTCTGCCCAGAGCACCAGCCCTTCAGTTGTGACAAACAAAAATTTCACAGACATTAAAGGTGTCCCATGGGGGACAAATTGCCTCTGGTGGAGAATCACTGCTTCATCCTGTACCACTGTTCTTGTGGTTGGGGAAAGGGAGGGACCTTCTACCCCGCACACTCCCAGGACATGGGACCCAGGCTGAGAGATTTCTCCATCGCCTCAGCTTGTGATTGGTTCAGGGGGCACAGGACCCGAAATGGACCAATCAGTATGTTCTCTGTTTCCAGGCGATTTGTTCCATCTACAAGTGTCTCCTCCTGGGATTTCTTATCAGTTAGTTGCAGGAAGAAAGCCAAAATCAGAAAGTGTTCCGTGGAGCAATGGGACAAGCATCCCAACCTAGTGGATCAAGATCAGCACCACCAGCGATGGCAGGCAGACCTCGTGCATCTCAACGTGATGTCCTGAGAAAGACAGGGCATCACTCAGGTGTATTCCAGAGATCACAGCTTAACCTGAGTCTCACTCACGGGGAAATGGTTAAAAAAAAAAAAAGACTACCAATATGGAAGAGGCTGTGAGTGCAGACTTTAAAATTGTCAGTGTCTTGAGAGGAAAGAAAGGCTGAGGAGATTTTACAGCTTAAAGAGAACCAGACATTAAGAACAATACCCGGCCCTAAGGGGACCTTGTGTTGGAGTAAAGAGAGTGCCAAAAAGACAGAATGCAACTAATTAACGACACCAGAGCGCAGTGGATGAGCTGAAGTGTGTATCGGAAGTAGAATGTCGAAGGTTACAGCAGTCCCACGCTCACGTAACGGAGAATTCTTCTAACCCAGCACACACGGAAAAATACACACATACATACATACAGATACACACAAATACGTATGAAAACACGCGAATAGAAAACTGAAAGTCACTGAATATGAGCGCTTTTTCTACTATTTTTGTAAAATATTTGGTCCTCAAGTTGTTTCCTAATAATAAGGCTTTTTCAGTATCCTCCCTGGGGCTGTTGCAGGCCCTGAAAGGGAAGATGATCTCGCGAGCATCCTGACCCTGTGCCTCCCCTGACCTTTCCCCTGGACCCCTGGTTCCCATCAGGTGCCCTCCAGGTTCTGGTCCAGCCCGTTAAGAATTCCAGAGATGGAGCAGAAGCTTCAGGGCCAATTTGCATCGGCCAAGTTTGAGTCCCATGCCCAGCCCAGAACCAAACCTGGTGACCCTGGGAATTGCCTGCTCTGACAGGACAGCAGCACACCTGGAGCAGATTTTAGGCCGGACCAGATCCAGCCAAAGTGCGCTGAAAGACAGCTGGAACCCAGGGAAACAGGCGGACAAAGCACAGCTGCCTGCCTCAGCGGGACTCTTCCTCATTCATTCTTCCATCCATGCAGCCCACGTGTGCATAGTGCCTGCCGCGCCTTACGTCTGTTCTACACAGGCTGGGGGTGTGTCACTGAACAAGAGATGGAGGGTGCCTGCCCGCAGAGAACTAGTCTAGCAGGGAAGACAGATGATGAATGAATAGATACAATGCATGCTCTCAGGTAACAATAATTACTCTAAAGAAAAACAGTCAGGCAAACGGTGAATAAGAGACGGGTAGGAAATGCCCAGTGGAAGCTTCCTGGAGGAGGTGACACTGGAGCAGAGGCAGGGATTAGGTAAGAGAAGGAGGCAGGAAAGCCAGTGGCATCCCCTAGGAAAGCCATCCCCCAGGAGATGGGACCACATCCTCCAGGGTCTGGGAACTAGGGGAGAGGGTGGTGGATGTGCCCGGCTCCTCAGCACCCAGGGTCCTCTGGGCAAAGGGAGGAAACCGGCAGGCTTACCAGGGGACAGAAGGGCAGGATTTTGAGTGACATTCTTCCCTTCATCCTGGAGCGCTTCTTTGGCGGATCCTCAGTGTTCTCAGACAGCAGGGCTGAGGGAGGGGGAAAGAGTCATGAGGCTACCTTGCTCTCTGAGGCTTGAGAAACTTGATAATAATAACATATTCAGCATGGAGCTGTTAACAAGAGCTAACATGTGTGGAGTCCTTGCTGTGTGCCAGGCACTCTTTTAAGCATTTTACATGTAGTAGCTTATTTGGTTGTTCATAAGGACTCTCTGAGACAGTTACTATCTTCATCTAACATTACAGATGAGGAGACCGAGGCACAGAGAGGTTAGGACGCTCGCTGGATGTCGCACAGCACTGCCCACAGATTTGTATTCAATTGCCTGTGGAAGGCCCACAGGGCACAGCCAGGGAACGGCAGTGAGTGGAGGGGCTGGAGAGAGACAGCGGGGCTCTGGAGTCCGTGCACACGGGGCGCCCCCGCCCAGGAGGAAGGGACACTGACACGCAGCTGCCTGTGTCAGGCAGGGGACGCCTACCCAGAACTGTCCCGTTTCCCCAAAGAAGACAGACATCTCCATTTGGAGAGAAGTCTCCTGATATTTCAAAGCTGCCTACAAATCCAGAGAGCGTCTTGCAAACTCCTCCGCCGCTGCCGGCGCTGAGGGTCAGCGAGTCCACGCAGGGCCGTCCGGTCAGACGCCCCACGGCCCCGGGCACGCGCCCCGGGACGCACCCGCTCCTCCTGCTGTAACAGCGTCCGGGATACACTGCCCGGTGCAGCGTGACCCGCTGTAATCCTACTTCTAGTTGTGTTTATTGCAGTCCTCAAAGACGGGGATTAGCCCAAACGCCCGCCTGCAGTATCGTGCTTAATAAGTTACAGACAGACAGACAGACAGGCCCCGGAACACCAGGCAGCCAGAATGCACACGGCCTCTAGCGGGAGGTCGCCTTGCAGGACAGGGCTCACCGTGCTCAAGGTCAAAGGCTCTAAAGCCAGACTGCCGGGGCTCAGCCCTATGGGACACCTGGGATGGACCCTCCCCCACATTCACGTCATGTCAGTGGGTCCTGTCAGTCCCCTGCTCAGAGCCTGCAGGAGTGTCTCCTGGGAGCTGGATGCAATCTGGGCTCCTTTTTGTAACCTGGAGGCGGGTGTCCAGGTTACAAAAGGCGTAGTCAGTGGGAGATGTACAGGGCTGGACCAGTGTTCGGGGTCAGTCCTTCCCCATCAGCCATCCCCTGGAGACCCTCCCCACACCCACCTGCCCACACTTTCCACCCCATTTGTCTCTCACCTCCTTTCTCTGGTGGCTTGGTCTTCACCTCCTCAGTGTCCTCACCCTCGACCGTGCTGAGAGGCAGCATCGTGACAGCACTGGTCCTTCCTACGGGCAGGAGACCAGAGCAGTTATGGAGCCACTTGGCCCGGGTGTGAATCCCACTACCGTTCTCAGGAGCTGGGTGGAATGGGGCAGCTGGGTCCCTTCCCCACGTCTTCAGGTTCCTGACAGCCAAGGGGACGTGATGGAAATGCCTCCCTCCAGGAGTTGCTTCCAGGGCCCACAGTGTGATTAAGGGAGAGAGTTAGGCATGGCCTGGCAAGGACGAGGGCGGGATCATGGGTCTGGGGCTGATGTCCCTTTAAGAAAAGAATAGAAAAATTATGGCACAAAGTGCACCTTCAAGGTGCAACTCAGTTAGTTAACTGGGTATCAAATCAGCCTCTGGAACCTGGCATACAGCAGGTGCTCAATAAGTGCAACCCATGCCCAGCATTCTCATTGCCGTACCTCAGTGCTGTCCTTCGGCTACAAGGCAGCCTGACCAAGTCATCCAGTCCTGGACCACACCTCCCTGACCGCGGGGCCCCATGCTGGAGCAGGATGCCCAGTGGGATGGGGCCGTGGACCCCTCTCCAAAGCCCCTGGGAGGGGCCAGCACTGCAGTGGTGGATCTTAGCAGTTGGGTCAGCTTTGGGGTTTTGGGGACCCCAAGTCCACTCCAGCCTTATCCTGGGCAGGACTTTGGCCAGTGTGTCTGGGGGTGTGGGCTGGGGGATTCCAGCCTGCCGGTCAGTAGCTCAAAGACCTCGAAGATCAAGTAAACCAGATTTAACAATAACGACATTATAATAAATACAAGGCAAGCTGAGATTTGAATTTCAGATACACAGATCATTTTTAGTATAAGTAGGACCATAACATTACATGGGCCATGTTTACATTAAAAATTTTTTTCTTTAATATGCTTAAGTATGTTTAAGTTTAGGCAAGTCCCACGAAATATTTGTGAGCTATTTATACTGCAAGGTAAATAATTATTTATCTGATATTCAAATTTAAGTACATATTCTGTATTTCACCTGGCAACTCCTGATTCAGAGGTTATATAACCCCTTGACCTGCCAGTTTTCCCCTCCACAAAACGAGGAAAATAAATTAGCAGACAAGATGATTAAATACAATTAAATACACACACATTCAGAACACACTATCTGGTAACTTCGAGTCGGCACATCTTCCTCGAAGCCTTTTTAAGAAGCATAAAACCCAACCACAGACTCTCATACATAATCGCTTGTCGGATAGTGGGACACACGACCAGATACACACACACACACACACACACACACACACACACACACACACACACACACAGACTAGTTAACGAACACGTACTTATTTACAGTACTTCGACGGTCGTACGGAACCGGAACCCCGAGGGAACCTAAAGTAAACGAAACCTAACGAACGGTC